CCGGGGGGGGGGGACTAGAGTTTTGCGCTGTGTCCAACCGTCCTTCCGCTATCTTGTCCGGGCTCTATCTCTTACACTACTAGTCACTGGAACTTCAGGTTCCAAAAGTTGTTAAGCCAAGGGGTGGAGGTGGGAAATAGGCTCCAAATTCCATGAAAATGCTCCTTTCGGCATGCGTCCCAAACAGCCTCTGACAACCAAAGTCCAACTCCAACCTTCACGAGTGGTTTATCATCGGTAAACCCGGTGGAACTGTTTCAACTGACTGGAGAAGGGACGAAGGCGAGCCACTGGCACCTCAAAACCAGATAGCCTCGGGCAGATGGGGCTCGTCAACCTTGGAGAAGGAAAACTCGGGACTCAAAACCTCCGCTGCCTTGCGGCCACACCCTTCACCAGGGAAAGGCTTCAGGTGACAACCTCGAGGAAAATCCAGAACTAGGAATCTGTAACATCCTTCCTGTACTTCAAGGATCAGAACATTTGTTCCGAAGTTAAGGGTGAGGTAGTCCCGACAGAAAACCTTGAGTGCTGAAGACCGCGGTGTTGGGCCATACAGTGCACTCTAACAGACCACAACACCACGCATAAACAGCCATTATGACACTGGAACTTCATACTTGGTGTATGGGTTCACCTTGGGGAGACAGTGTGTCATATATCGAAAGTAGGTCACTCTGACCTACATTTTGACCTTTGACCTACATCAAAGAAAGACATTGTCCAGGCTCTATCTCCTACACTACTAGTCACTGGAATTTCATACTTGGGGTATGGGTTCACCTTTGTGAGTCGGTGTGTCGTGTATTAAAAGTAGGTCACTCTGAACTACTTTTTGACCTTTGACCTGCATCAAAGAAAAACTTTGTCCGGGCTCTATCTCCTACACTACTAGTCGTTGGAATTTTATACTTGGAGTATGGGTTCATCTTGGTGAGGCAGTGTGTCGTATATCAAAGTAGGGCACTGTTTTTGACCAGTTCACTGACACTTTTCCTTATTAAATATGGTGGGTCCGTCAAACATTCATATATAGAATAAGTTCCTGCAATTTGTCATTTATGCATTTCACATTTGGTTGGGGACTATAATTCGCCGAATTGTCTTGTTTTCAATATATCTTGTATTCAATCACTGTAGGCAGTGGCTGTGGTCATACATGTGGCATTTTATCATGGAAGGTTCAACAAGTTAAGGTTCACAAATACATATCTCTAGATCAGAATTGAAGGATTTGTTCACCAGCATTAATGCCTGATCCTGATTTTTTTCCAGACTGCTGTAGCTAAAAGGACTTGTGTCGAATTTGTACCAGTTTTCTGTATGTGGAAGTTGTAGACAATTTGTTTTTGTTATGTTTAGAAATATGTGCAAAAAGGATGTGTCTTACAGGGTCAATTTCTTATTTTGTGCACCTTAAGATGATGAGGAAAACTATTGCAAAGATTCAACCATTTCCTTAACAATTTTATATTAAACAAGAATTCCACGGAACTTGATGTGTCGCCTGCTCAGATATGCCAAAACGCGGAAAGTTGAACCTCGACAAAAAAAACATAATACATGTTGAACATAATTGCTTCTATCGTTACCGTACAAATTTTGAAAGGAATTAATTAAAAAATAAAAATGTCTTGCATTTACTACACAATGTCCATTTGACAATAAAAGGGGCATAACTCCATCAAAAATGCACGTAAACTTCTAAAATGCGCACCGAGCTATATTGGTATGCAATATGTGTACCAAGTTTAAGCTCAATCAACCCAAGGGAACTCAAGTTATCGCACAGAAACTTTGTTTCGGACGACGCAACCGACAAGTAATACCGTATATGTCGCCTTGCGTTTTCCTTAAAAGTGATTGACGTAACGTCATCATTCACCACGTGCACGTAGTAATATTTTTCATACAAATATGTGCAAATGAAATAAATTTCACATGTTATTATTAAAGCCATCGACATCAAATTAAACTCAATGTTGTGGGATGTTTTCAAATTTAAAGTAACGATAGTATACATATTTTTATCTCTCCCTTAAGAAAAGATCACCTTTTCCCGCTTAAACCAGTTATTTCGTTCACTCAGTTTATGCAAGAATTATGAAAAACTAAATTGTTAAATAAATGCGACATCCTTCACAGGAAATTTGAAAACTGATAATTAGAAAATGTACATAAAATGAAAACCTGAGATATTATTAATACGTATGCATGTTACGTAAGCTGTTATTGCGTGTAAAATACAACCATGCATAAAACATTCACGAAAAACGTTAAATGTTCATAAGCACAAAACAAGGTAATGACGTTCGAATTAACGTTTCCGACGCAAAACAGCGTAGCGTTACATAACGGCTAGACCTGGGTGAATCAATGCTGTGCAGCGGCAGTGTTAGGACACACAATATATCAAAAGGACGCATTTTACGGACCGTTACATAACGGCTAGACCCACTAATATCTAAATTCCCCAAATACTGTCGCTCCAATTTCAATAAACTTTTGTATATCGTTTGAATAGGCAGTGGCGGATCCAGCGGGTTTTTCTGGGCTTCAAGAACCCTCCCCCACCCTGAGAATTTTCTTTAAAGATCACGCTTTTCACAATTTTCCTCAATTTTTCCCCATTTGGACTTGCACCAAACCGAATACAGGCAAACGACATAACATATTAATCTAGAAATCATATTGCGAATGAACGGACATTTTGAAAAACTAAAACACTAATGATGCATGTGGGTTTCCTGTATTTTTTGCAACTTTCAAAATTGATATCGACTTTCAAGTGTCATATAGTTCAAGAAAACATTGTTATGTAGCTTTAAAATTCAAACATCTGCGGAATGGGCCCATAAACGCGCATTCCGTTTACGTTACACATTACATTGGAATAATGGCGAATGTTGACGTTATAACGGCGATTATAACGTTGCACTCGAAACCTCTATGCGTGCTGTCCATGTGATATATAGAGTCTCAGCACCAACTTACCAGTCGTTGATTTCTCTTATTTTATTACTGCAATTTACCAATTGCCATTTTTTTGTGAATGTTAATTGCCGTTTGTTAATTCACAATTGCTCATTGGCATTTTTCACTTGCTTATTATTGCCAATCGGTTATTCTCACTTGTTACTTTGCTTGTTGTTTGTATGATAAATTTGATTATTGACACCTGGCAATTACGGAGTGTAACCGTTAAAGTCATATATATACCGTTCTCTCATAGCAATTGGCAAAAAGGAAATGACAATTTAAGTTCAACAAGCCCTCTAAAAGATAATATAATCATCGAAAGTTTAACTCTGATAAGCCATATTTAAAGACCCCTATTAAACATCGGAATTCAGATAGGTGAATTGTACAAAGCGACGTTAAAATTGTACAAAGCGACGTTAAAATTGTACAAAGCGACGTTAGCAAAGATAATAAAGGCATTAAGACTGATGTCTTCATAACAAATAGTCACTTGACTTGTAACATATCAATCTATTTTGCAACCCAACTGTATGAATGCTACATAATAACATAAGTTATTTTAAGTAAGGTCGTGCGGCCAAATTTCATTTAGTTATTTGTTAGCTGTTCGATAGGCGTAGCCTACCGGTCTCAAATCAAGATGGTTGGGACTATGAGAATGCACAAAAATCATAGTAAAATGCCCCGGAAAAATGTTTCACAGGTATATATATGATCTATTTTTATACTTCCTATGTATATACAAAGACCTTACTTTAGGTCTCTGGTATATAAAGGCGTTGCTGTATTATTATATTATTGATTATATTGATCAAAAGACGGTGCAACAAAACATCGTGTCCACCACACGCGCTCGAGTTTCTCTGGTCATGATCCCCTTGTTCGGATTATCTAGAAAAAAGGCAAAAACACTACAAATGAGCTCTGAGTGCAACTGTTAAAGTCGTCTGCTGGATAACCGAACTACTCGGTAGTGAGGCGGACGTAAAACCTATCAATCAATCTGTTAAAAGCAGACGACAGCAATCAACCTGAACACCTTTACTAGCGCGTCATTGTTTTATTTCGGTATTCTATTTGGTTGCCACGTGATTTCTTAAAGGTATTTCATACAGGCGCATGTCATTGTATATAGTATGAGACTGGATCATAACTTTTCCAGAAATGCATGCACAGGTAAGTGTTTTCATGAATTATAATATTCAATGCAATTTTGCGCCACTAAAATTTTGCATTCAAATGTTACTTTTCAGACAAAGTCAACAATATTTTCAACAAATAATTTCTGCAAAGGTCATTGTTGACATTTTTCCTGACATGGGTATACCAACCAACTTCCACATTTTTATCATTTTGAGGAAAAGTTATGAGCCAGTCTCAAACTATATACACTGACATGAGCCTGTATGAAATACCTTAAGCTTGTTTCTCCAAGATTAATCACGTGTCACGAGGTCGAAGGAAGAAACAAAGAATCGCCACGCTATGAAAGAAAATAACTCTACCATATGTAAATTATGTAGAAATATCCCGAACTCCCTCTGGTACGCTCGTTATTTTTTTTTTTAAACCCCAGACAACTTTGGTTTTTTTTGCCCCAATTTCAGGACCGTCAGGTGGAGTATTTCAATCCTACATCTATAATGTAGCTATAGTCTTACGTAGCTTTTCATTACAGGAAAACTGGCTTAAGCACATCATATAAAATTCCGCTGAACTATGACGATTATAATGCCTTTTTTTCCCTATTATAAATAATTTCGTCTAAATTCAGTTGGCCCGGGTTGCAATATATTGACAAATCATAATGATCGTAAGCTATTTTCACCAAGATATCAGTTTTAGTGCCTTATCACTGACCTGTTTGAGCAATAACTGAGCATTAGCAAAAGCGAGTAAATGACCAGAAGCATTTAGCATATCGATAATAACAACTACAAATGCGATAAGTTTGAAAATCGGCAAAAACAAAATGGGATCAGCAAATTGCAATAACAAAATGATCAGCTGGCATGTCGGCGGGGCCATATCGTAGTTAAGCTCTGGGCCCGTATGAATTCATGAAACCGTTCTCGTGCTCAAGCATGGATTTTGTGCTCAAGCCAGGTTTCTTTAATCTCACCTCAATTATGTCAACAATCAAAAAGTCAATTGTAAACATTGAAAACATTGAAAAAAAACAAATTGTATTTTGTCAATGATTTTTGGGGGACTATAAGAGACTTAAAGCCAAATACTGTTTTCAAAGTTTACATTTGAATTTCTGATCATTTGACACGATTTAAGAGAGCAACAAGAAAGTTGGTTTGAGCGCAAAATCCGCCTTGCTTGAGCATATATAATATATATATATATGAGAACGGTTTCATGAATCAGATTAAGGTAGGTCCAAACGTCTGATAGAGTTACGTCCCTTCATACAGGTATCCAACATGGCGTCCGTACAGTTGATTCCGCCTGTCTCCGACTTGTATGAGATGATTGAGGCGTTCCTACAGGCATGTGATTAATGTACTCGACGATAATATGGAGATGGGTTCATTATATAACTTTATATACGTCTTCTAACATTTCATGATGACTGAAATATCTTTATCACACTACTGCCAGAAATGTTGACATTACCTAATATATGGGTCAGAAATTGACAAGTGCTAAGCTTACGTTATTACGTAAAACACAGACTACTTTACAGTCCAGCAATATCGTGAATACTTAATTTGTGAAACTTTCTTTGGATCTTTATCAAACTATCATTCATCAAATGTTTAAATATCGCTTACTTATTAGGACAGTGTTCTAAAGAAAAGAGGAGAAATAGTTGGGAGGAAATCTAGAAAATGCATATAACAGATTGTAAACGAACCAAGTTGATGGATAATCCAAGGGGTTTATCTAGTCCTTTTTTTTCTACCGGTATTGGGTATTTTCCCCTCAGGAAATTTGTGCTTATTTTCCCTGAATTTTAGTAAATTGTTAAAATTTTCCCTAGGTTTTGTTAAAACTTTGTGAAATAATCAAATATTTATACCTCTTAGATTTTGGGTTCTATTTTACATTTTTTTTTTTCAAAAGCAGGTTTTTGGTGAAGAAAAAAATCCCTCATGGGATTTAATTTTCCGCTCAATTTAAAAAAAAGGTAGTTTCCCCTAAATCCTAGATAAACCCCTGAATCCCCCTCAACCCTTCCATCGTCTCTGGTCTAGGCAGGGACAATCCTGGTGGGCTTTACAGGTTCAAGTGTGGGTCAGAAATTGGTTAACAAGTGCTGTAGGGCCTAAACGTTATTATGTAAAATGCAGACAACTACAGTACAGCAATAGCGTGAATATTCTATTTGTGAAAGTGTTTCTTTGGTTTTCTATTGATCATAATATTATTCATTAAATCATCTTTTTATAATAACGCTTATTAGGACAGTGTTCTAAAGAAAAGCTGCGGAAATCTAGAAAATGCATATATAACACATATCCCTCATTTGGGAACTCCGGCTATCCTCCACCACCAAAACCTGATCCTCCACCACCAAAACCTGGCATGTCCTTATTGGCTTATATATATAAATTAAATGACCATTGCTGTTAAAAGGATGTAAAACACAAACCAAGGGGTATGCCCAGGCCTTGGGATAGATATAACTCATTGATGCCTCACATGGGTGAACATTATGCAAAAGCCAAAAGTAAGGTGGTGTCAGGCAAGGGGGGATTTAGAAAGAATAAACTTCAAGAAAAGAATTTGTGCTAGGATAGGATAAAATAAGATCCCAACTGTCGCAATTGGTTGCATTACACACTTTGTTGCAAATGTGCCAGCATACACTCTTCCTGTGCTGCAGTGACATGTAGAAAAAATGTCTGATAGAAAATGAATCATGAATAGATTGCTGTTCATCTGGTTCCTCCCTCTCCACAAGTCTAGTGTAGGTCTTTACCTTCAAGCATAGCTCCCGGGACATCAAAATGTGCAAGACCTCCTGACCAAAGCAAGGTGGCAATCAATCAAATGGTTATATGAAGAAAAAGACAGAAAATTAGAAAATGAAACGTACAAAATGGAAATTCAATATTAACAGTATCATTTTAACGAACTTAACATTTAGTAAATCTTAATACTTTCTATAATGGTTACAGTGAGCATTTCACCATTATCTAAAAAAAAATCTGTACTAACTATAATAGATGATTATTTTCAAAATTAGGCAGTTGAATGCTGATGGGTTATAGTATCATAAACAATTTATTTTCCATAATTGAAAATTATTAACTCATTCACCCCTGAAGAGTGGAGACACATTTGAACTCTTCCAAAAATAGCTTGGATTGTTCATTGTGAAATTTCAGGGGTGAATGAGTTCATTTGTATCAACTTAATCAAAGACGTGTACAGTAATTCCAATTGTTGACATGTTTACAGGCCCCTGTGTATCACTTGATCTTTGAAGTTTGCCTGATTGTACTGATTATCAAGCTAGTGTTCTCCAAGTCCTTCGCTGGTGCTCCTGAAACCATCCTAACAAAGAAGGTAAGTACTTTCACCCCCAAAATTTCATAATGAACTGTTCCAACCTTTGAAAAGAAAGAGCTCAAGTTAAATGTGTCTTCAGGGGTGAATAAGTTAAGCAGGCATGTTAAATACACTGGTTACAATATCCTGAATATCTAACTCTTCATATTTTAAAGTGCTTTTGTCATCATTCTTGACAAGCTTTTGAACATACATATATAATTGTTTGCTTTAAAAATATCAGCAGGAAGAATCATTGACAGAATTTCAACTGAAATTATGTGCAAGTTGACAATTCGTAAAACTAAAGATGGCAGGTAAAGAAAATCAGTAAAGTAAGTGAGTTATACCAAAGTAACACTACATTGTACCTTATAATGTTTTGTTCATGTGTTCTTGTGTCTGCTGTTGCCTAGATATGATAAAGCAAAAAAAAAAAAGTGGTTATCAAACATTTATTATGACAAGGATGGTTTTGTTGTTGTGTGTAGGAGGAAGAAGGGCTGATAGCAGAGTGGACACCAGACCCCCTAGAACAGGATGTGCCCCCAGATCACCCAGTGCTACAGTCTTTGGAGAAAAACCTTGTCACAGGGTAATACTCAAATCTGGTCAGTTGTCGAGTTAGATATATTCCCAAGAACAAGTGCAAGGGAAGTTTATAAGTGACATTGATATGTCAGACTGGTGTCAATTTGATACAGTCCTTGATCGCTGCTGTCTTCTTGAACGTTATACCGGTATTATAATATCACCGAAATTTATGTTTGCTTTGACAGGAGTCATCTCTCAAAGTTTCTAGAATCCCTTCCCCTCCCTATCTTTTATGTATCGAAAAATGTTCTCCATTTTCTTCTATTATTTTGTCTAAGGCCCTTTTTCTTCAATTTAGTTTTTGTGTGGTATATTATACAGGGTTCGAATTTAACCAGATTTTCTACTTGCATTTTTTCGCAAGTGGTATTTTTTCTTACTTGCTAAATGAGAAAACAACTTGCAATTTGCATTTTTCCAACTTTATTAGACATGTTAACTTAGAATTCAATTCTAAANCCAATACAACCACGTGACTAGTCAAGCCTATCGTATTTGCGCTATAAATAGTAACTAAAAATAGATTACCGAAAAACATCATGCATGCGGTAAACGTCATCATTATTTGTGCAGGTACTTCCTAACGGACATGCGCACGGGACATGTATCGATTGTAAACTTCCGTTAATGACAAAAGCTGAATCATTCATTTGGCGAATGACAAGAATGCGCTTAAATGACCGCGAGTTGTCAAAGAAAGAATTTGTAAAGACCGACCATTAGAAATGAGGATTATTCAGCCCAAAATTTTCACTCGCAAAAAAATGCTGGTGTCTGAAATCTCTACTCGCAGTTTGCAATTTGCACTCGCTTTTCGCGAGTATGCGAGCTTAAATTCAAACCCTGATATTATATTGATTTTATCTTATCAATAAAATCCTCTTTGTGTAATGTTTATGTAACAGAATTAATTATTCTTTGAGATTGAACCTGGAACAAGTCTAACGCTATATAGCACTAGATTAGATGAAGCAGTGTTTTATCAAGGTTTGAAAAAAATGGGGGGTGGGGGTTCCATTGATAGTGTGATATAGGCAGAATATAGAAGTTTATGGGGTTGATGTTCACAATCCCCCCTTCTGGAGAAAATGCTGCTAAAGAGAATTTCTCTGTAGCCGAGTCAGTAGGTAGTGCTTTACCAGTGTGTCGTGTATATTTCATAGATACAGGAGAACAGTCTCACTTTGAGGTTGTTTTATTTTGCCTAAAACACTAAAAACGTGTTCTTGCACTAGGAACTGTAGTCACACGATATAATAGTGTTTACAACACTGGACCACTTCACGGCATTATTTGACGTGAAGTGTCATCCGGGTCTAGGGAAATCTATTGTTTATTGAAGAATGCAATTGTTAGAGCAGTCATTGAATTGTCCACCTCTTAATATAGGTCTCAGCATGTATAAAGGCGGGGATTTGTATCACTTGTGATGCCCTGTCTCTAAGTTACCCAGTACATTAAGATTTTTTTATTTTTTTTTAGACCACCAGGAAAATATGTCGAAATCAACGGGAAAAAATGTGTTAACATGGCAACTCTGAACTTCCTGGGGATGTCATGTCGGCCGGAAATAGTGGTAGGTATCACACACTGTTAATGAGTTGACACAGATATAAAAAAACCATTCAAGAGGTATTACAATTGTTTTCAGTAGAGCCAATGGTTTTATCTTTTTCTTTTTGTCATTTACATTCATCATCAGGGAACTTCTATATTGAACCATGCAAAAATATCTTTTTGGGAATAGAAACATGTAAGAAATATTTGTAGTTTATTATTTCATTTTTGTCTGATTGTAGCTACTACAGATATCTATACATTGTCATAGATAATTTCTGGTATCTTTGTGACATGTTAGAGAGGCTTTTACACATTTAACAAAATTGTGTTTAGTGCCATATTATTTTTGATGACTTATCTAAGTAGCAGACCTGCTAAGCTTCGAATCTCCCAATGGGGGTCATGACCCCCATTGTGAAATTCTGTGGGGGGTGATAACGCGCGAACGAAAATTTGTGTGGAAATTTAATAATTTCGCGGGGTCTCGGCTTTAAGGCGTATTATGTTTTGTCTTCTAAAAATTAACAAAACATTTTATCACACCTTCATTGTTTTATTACGTATTCGTAATCAATATACATGTTTTTCTTTTCCTAGGTGCATACTGAAAGCATGAACCATGTTGATTTAGTTTTGCACATAACAAAGCACATTTGTATCATTTCCTTATTCAGATCTCCCTTCTGTCTGGATCTTCTTCAACATGGAAAATGTTCTCTCAGGGTCAGCATTTACTCATGATGATCACTGAAAGTATACGTACCAAACATGTCTTCATCAGCCTACACAACACACAAAAACTAAGATCATTCTTAAAGGGTTCTTTAACTGCATGCCTTTTGATATTGTTCGTAGCACCCGAAGCTACCGAAAAATGATTGGTACACAGTTTACAATAGGCAATAGGTTTACATATCGGGTCCAATATTACTCTTCTGAAGCCAGTCATAATCTTTTTCCCACGAATCATTGTAATTATAGGCATACTTTTTCTTTTTTGACGATGAACAATAAAATAACGAACGTTTTCTTGGGTTAGAAGCCATTTGTGAAAGTGAAGTGACAAGCGCTACGATCGGGATTATATGCATTGTAGTAACAGTGAACAGTACTCACCTTTTGATTTTGTCATGCTGGTTCCGAAACAGGGACACCATTGTGAAAACAAATCACTTAGTACATGTATACAGACTTAACCTATAACTGAAAGCTAAACTTCCGAGAGACACGAACGGAACATTTCCGGAAGTACGGAGATCCTAATAAAAGACGCGGATGGGGGGGATTGCGGGTCATATTTACGGAATGCGGGAGATACGTATGACCCGCACGTATGACCCGCGCGGGTCATAAGATCGTCACGGGTGATAGGGTCATTTAGCAGGTATGAAGTAGTGATATATTGATGGGGGAGGGAGGCCAAGTGGTTAAGGCATCTGACATCTGCTACCACTAGCCCTCCACCACTGGGTCGTGGGTTTAAGACCTACGTGGGGCAGTCCTCAGGTACTAGCCGTAGGTCTGTGTTTTTTCTCCGGGTAGTCTGACTTTCTCTCCACCACCAAAACCTGGCACGTCCTTAAACGACCATAACTGTTGTTAATAGGACGTAAAACACAAACAAACAAAACCAAAGATATATTGATGCATTGAGTAAGATTTAAAGTTTATGTTAAACAATTCCTTAAAAAATACTTAAGCAATGTTATGCTGTGTACAATATTACCAAATTATGCAAACAATAATCAGTAGTATATATTGTATAGTAAAATACCAGGTGATGTTGCTGTATTATTAACCAAGAAGATCCATAATTACATTGAAATCTCTATCAATAATGAAATGAGGTTAGGACATTCATGAATGGCCTGAAACATCAAACAAAATTTGGACAGATTTTAAAGGCACTTTGCTTGCTTAAAATACTTCCAGTTTGTTGTAAGACCTGCTCGAGTGACCACTGTTATGAGACCCAACTGTGTTAAGACCACTTCTGTTATGAGACCCAACTGTGTTAAGACCACTTCTGTTATGAGACCCAACTGTGTTAAGACCACTGTTAAATGCTCTGCTGCTGATATTTCATCATGTTAACAGAACCAATATTAAGAGATTACCGACAAGAAAGCAGCCACTTTATGTGCTTTCTGAAGACGATCTCGGAATGTAATTTCAACTTCTTGATAAATGATCTGTCGTTTGTCCAAGAATTGATATTCTTAAATTGTTTTTGTTGTAGGATGCTGCAGTCAAGACTATGAGAAAGTATGGTGTTGGATCTTGTGGTCCGAGAGGTTTCTATGGAACAATGGGTAAGGCTGGTCTCGTACTCGGGTTTATTTGCTGAACACATCAGCTGAGAGGTAGAAATATTGAATTGGTTTTTTAGCCCACCATCATCTGATGGTGGGCTATTCAAATCACGCTGCGTCCGTTGTCCGTCGTCCATCCGTAAACAATTCTTGTTATCGCTATTTCTCAAGAAGTACAAGAGGGATCTTTCTCAAATTTTATATGTAGGTTCCCCTTGGTCCTTCGCTGTGCAGGGCAACTTTTGAGACTGATCGGATAAACAACATGGCCGACAGGCAGCCATCTTGGATTTTGATATTGAAAGTTTGTTATCGCTATTTCTCAAGAAGTAC